TTTAAACCTGATAAAACACTCCTAATTGGCATTCTTTATATAAAGAATACTAATAGGTAGTATCTATTGTGGTCGTGTCCTCATTTAATAAACTCGCAGGTCGTGTTTTATTAGGTCTAAAGCCACTTGCGCTGCGCGCTCGTGGCTTTATTACCTAATAAAACACTCCTGCTCGTTTATTAAACAATACATAAAATTCCACTCGACAGTTTCCATCTACGATAGTCAATAGACATCAAATATTAAATATAACTTGGCCCACAAACCTCATATTTCAGCTTTTGATCTTTTCTCTGTAGAGTCACAGGTGCGGTCAAATTTCGATTTAAAACATCACCCAACTGTTCCCTCGAAGCTTTCTTTATTGAATCTTTATAATACTTCGATTGTTACAGAATTTTTAATCATTCCGAAACACGTTGTTGAAGAGTGAAAATATCAAATATGGCGCCCAAAAACTCAAAAAGTTCATGTCGTGTTTCCACTTCACAAAAACAAAATTTTGATTTGAGATTTCGCAACCGATTGCAATCTCGTTCCCCGAGCCTGCGATCCTCGGGAAGGAACGCGAGGCTCTGGGATAATCCGTTGCCGGAAGCCAGAAATCCTGACTGAGACCGAACTGCGCATTCCATATCAATGGCCAATCAGATTCCTCCCTGAAACGGATTATCCCAGATCCTCACGTTCCTTCCCGAGGATCGCAGGCTCGGGGAACGTGATTAATTGAACCGATTGAATAAATGCAAAGATGAACAAAAAATGAAATTAACTGACCTTCATGGGAAGGGAAGGAAACCAATTTTTTCGGTGACGAATTTTTTGCCAAAAAATCAGTGTTTCACGTTTTAATCATTATGGAGCTAGGAGACATCTTTGCGCTAGTAGTAGTAGTAGTCACAGAATAAGGATCTATTTAATAATAGACCTTTTTAAAAAATCTGCCTTGCCTATATTCACTGAGTCGAAGGTAATATAGGCTTTTATTTTTCACCCTGCTCGGTTTCCTTCGTTCTTATCGGGGAGAATATATTCAATATTCCCCTCTAATCAAATTCCGTTTAATAATCCCCTCTAATATTCACCTGCAATGTCTCTGCAGCACAAAAAATGAGAAAAAAAACAACATAACTAACGAAGGCAATATTGCATTAAGAATTTTTCTATTCTGACTCATTAACGCGACCTCGCAATGTGAAAAATAAGTACGTTATTTTGAGGCACCTTGGGGATATGCGTTTCTCGGGGATATGTGAATAAATCACATATCCCCCCGTTGCCTCCAAATAACCTATACGTAATCACCGAGCCTGAGGCGACTAAAGCCGGTTTTCCACTTCACCCGTATCGCAGCGAAACGTACTGGTGAGCATGCGCAGATTGAAAAGAGGTTTATAAATCCACGTACTTCGTGGTGTATTCGCGTATCAAAATAAAAAGTTCGTCGCAAGTCAACTTTTTGGCGTACTACGGAAGTACTAAACAATCAACATTCACGAAATTTTGAAATTTAAAAACGTTTTTGATACGTTTCGGTACGGTACGCTTGAAGTGGAAAACCGGCTTAATTGTTTTAGTATCATTTCAGTATTGAAAAAGTTTTATTTATAAATACGACTAATACACGTGTTATTTTATTAATATTATTTGCATGTAAATAACTTACTTCCGTCTGATTTTCAATTCGGCCATTTTTTTTGACAGGAAAGGCAATAGTTACTGCTCAGGGGCCGGTTGTTCAAAGGTGGGTTAGCGCTAACCCTGGGTTAAAATTTAACCCACTGTTTTAGGTTGTGTATTTCTGCACGTCTGTTTATTTCAAAACTTCGGAGAAGTAAACTTCTATCGATCCAGACAAGATCTCTGAAGAAATATCTCCAAATTTATAGACAAGCTATCGGGAAGTTTGCTTTGAATTTTAGATTAACCGAGGATTAAGTATAGGTTATTTTGAGGCAACGAGGGGATATGTGATTTATTAAGTCGAAAAAATTCAAAAACGTGCACTGAGGATTATACTGCCAGGTCGATCCTACGGTGAAGCGCAAGAAATGTTGCAGTGTCCTAGGCTGGATATACGTAGCCTGCGAACAGGCGCCGCCCGCAACCCAGGGCCTGTTCGCAGGCTAGGATATACGTCGAGGTGAACTTTGCGAAAAGACGATAAAAAATATTGCATTGGGCAGTCGTCTTTCTTCCCATCTAACTCTCACCAGTGAAAACGAACATGTGTATAATTTAAGGAATTTTAAACAATTCGCTTCTTTTAAATGTAGAACTGATAGATTTGGTAATAGTTGCATGATTAGTTTTTTAAACAAATAATTGTTCTTAGTTATAAGTTCTTATTTAATAATCTAATGATACATTGTAATATAGTTACTTTTAGTATTGTAATTCTCATTCAAATCAATTGTAAAACACATTGTAATTCATTTTCATGCGATGATGTGTTATTAAAATACCATTATTATTATTATTATTATTATTATTATTATTATTATTATTATTATTATATCCTCGAGGCGCCTCAAAATAACGTACTTATTTTTCACACTGCGAGGTCGCGTTAAAGAGTCAGAATAGAAATAATTCTTAATGCCATATTGCCTTCGCGATGTTGTTTTTTCTCATTTTTTGTGCTGCAAAGACATTGCAGGTGAATATTAAAGGGGATTATTAATTGCAGGTGAATATTAGAGGGGATTATTAAACGGAAATTGATTAGAGGGCAATATTGAATATATTCCCCGACAAGAACAAAGGAAACCGAGCAGGGTGAAAAATAAGCTAAGTTAGCTAACCCAGCTCTGAACAACCGGCCCTTGGGGCAGGAGTAGTAATTATTGCCTCAGAGTTACTGCTGAGGTGGCCAATCAGAAAGCTCAAAGGCCATTTTTCAATACTGAAATTATACTAAAGTGTGGTAGCAGTAGTAATCTTTATTGAGGACTTTTTTAAACTTTTTTATTTTATATAATTATTTTCAAAAAGGACCTCGGTAACAGTTCTGGTAATCTTCTAAACATTTATATTTCAAAGTTGAACTCAGGGGCGTGGCCACTGGGGGGTCTTGGGGGGGGGTGCGACGCCCCCCTCCCCCCCATAATTCTGAACTTTGAAAAGTTGGTAAAAATTATTGAAAAGTTGGTCAAAGGAATTATTTAAATATTAAACGAAATCTTATATTATTTACAAAAATTTTAGAAAATCCAAAAAATGTTCAGAATTTTAGAAAAAGTTCTTTGATAAACGGAGAAAATTTGTGCTATCCGAAAAAATTTTAATGTCGCGAAAAATGCGATAGGTCCGGAAAATTTTTTTTACCCCTAAAATGGTACACTGACCGAAATTTATTTTTTTCATTATGGTATGACGCCCCCCCAATCTGGAATCGTTCGCCACGCCCCTGGTCACTTGAACTGTAATACACCATTTCGGAAAGTCAGGCTCCCTTTTCTTTAAAATGTCCCCCGGTCAAGGTCCCTTTTCTTTAAAATAAAATAAAAGGAAACATTGCAAGAAAAATGGAATTTAGAAAAGAGGTTTGATATTCAAGTAGGAATAAGGTTTGATATTCAAGTATGACTGACATGCCATCCCAGGGGATGGCATGTCAGTCATATACCTTTTTCTCGACAAACTAGTTCTAAAGAGGGCAATTGAATGCAGAATTGTGTTTAAAAGTCATAGATGAACCACCTGTTCTGAAATTTTCTTTAAATTTCACAGTGGGACTGGAATTTGATCTAAAAGAAGGGCTGGGAAATTAAGGGGGAAATATAATTACGAAAATACAATATACAAAAGCAGCTTCTCATGAACAGATTGAATGATAGTTTTCTATTGTTATGTGATAGATACTGAGTTTTCTATTGTTATATATGATAGATACTGAGTTTTCTATCTTTACGTAGTACAGAAGATTTATAAAACAGAAGGTTTAACTTGCAGGCGGTTTAACTTGCCACGATTGATATGCTTTATACCTTCGGAGTAAACGATAAAAATTCATAATTCATAAAAAAGTCACAGGCACGCTAAGATAATTTCAATAAAATAACGTAGCCTACCACATAAAAATTGTGCAATACTGCAAATCATTCATATGACAACAAAAATCAATAACAATCGATATATGTAAAGCAACAAGTTTATGTTCACTTTTGCGCGAAAAGGCATTCGTAGGCTTCGTACCTCCACCAACAAATAAAGTTATGTATCATATACATAAATTTAATATACCACGGAGGCAATTGCATGCATTCTGCCCGACAAAGCAAGGCAAACTTTTTGTAATTTTCCAACACACTTTCATCCAAATTTAACCAAAATTAAATAGATTTGTCCATGAACAATGTCCATTAGTCGCACAAATCGTCGTTTGAATATACGTTTGATAGTTTTTGAATTTTCGTGCTAACAAACGAAGACGAAACATCTGCGTTTGTACGTGTGTGCACGTGACTGGCGAAGGTATTTCGACCTACCATGCTTCCACCACCTCCCATATCTGTGCTTATATATGTAAGAAAGTAATGATTTGGAGGTGGGGTATTGCCTGCATAATATTTCATGCGCTTTATATGGTAATGTTAAAGTTAATAAGTATATTCGTGCTTGTGCGAAGTGCTGTGAATATATAGGTTTCGACGAACCGTGCTGAATGTTCGATAAAAGTTATCTTTTTAACCCGGATAACTTCAACAAATATGTCAGAAGATTTGTAATCCATACATAACGTTGTGCCTGGATTACAAATCTTCAGACAGTTTGTTTCTACATTTGGTGCAGTTTCTAGTTTTACTTCGGCAATGCCCATGGGCTTCTCATTTTTTGATTACATATAAATGTCGCGTCTCTCGTCCATTTCAAATGACTCTGCGTAATTCTAGAAAAAGAAGTAAGAACCAGTGTTAATAAAATACGATAATATGATAACATGATAATAATAATGATAATAAAAACTTTATTAATAAAACTTCTTCCTAGATACCGTATATACACAATTAGTACACTATATTGATACATAATAGCAATTATGTACCGGAAGTCTTAACAGCAAATATATATCTGGAAAGCTAGAAACAAACTTTATGAAGAAGAGCGTACAGCCGAAGAAAGAGGCACAAGCCTTAAGAAATTTAAATGCATTCTTTACGGCACCTGCATGATTTATTAACATTATCTTTGTAAATATGGTTAATGAATTTAAGTACTATTTAAAACATGAGCAGCAGACAGT